AGCTGGACAGATAACTTAGCTGATAAGAGCCCCTGCTGTTCTTGCAGAGGACCCAAGTTCAATTCCAGGACCCACAACAGGCAGCTCACAACTGCCTGGAACTGAGTTTCCAGGGGATCCAACACATCTGGCCTCTGTGCGCACTACACTCATGTGTACACACCCCCACATACACACTTAAAGATAAAAGCTGGGTGGTGGTGGTGCACCCCTTTAATCCCAGCACTTGGGAGACAGAGGCAGGTGGACCTCTGTGAGTCTGAGGCCAGCCTGGTCTACAGAGTGAGTTTCAGGACAGCCAGGGTTGTGTTGAAAGACCCTGTTTCAAAAGCAAAAACAACAAAAAGAAATAAAAATTGATATAAAGATGGATGGATGGATAGATGATGGATAGATGGATAGATAGATGATAGATAGGTAAGTAGGTAGGTAGATAGATGGAGATAGAGAGGTAGATATAGATATATAGATAGATGATGAATACATATAGATAGATGATAGGTGGATATAGATGATAGATGATAAATGGATAGATAGATTTAGATAGATGATAGATGATGCATAGATAGATATAGATAGGTGATAGGTGATAGATATAGATAGATATAGATGATAGATAGAGAGATACAGATACATAGAGAGATGATAAAGAGCTGATGAGATGGGCCATCAGGTAAGGGCATTTGTCACTAAACTTGATGACCTAAATTCAATCCCAGGAACCCACGATGTGGAAAGGAGAGAACTAATAATGCAAACTGTCCTCTGTCTTCCACATGTACCACGTGCATGCACAATGAACGAATGAGTGAAGGAATGAATGAATGTGCATAGTTTAAGGAAGGAAAACCAAGTACAGTGGCTCATGCCCACGATCCCAGCAGTGTGGAGGTAGAGGCAGGACCGTGAATTTAAGGCCATCTTTGGCTACTTAAGATCTTGTCTAGAAACTTGGCATGGTTAGTGGATACCTTTAAGCCCAGCACTTCCTAGGCAGAGGCAGGTGGATTTCTGTGAGTTCAAGCCTGGTTTACTCGCGACATTCTAGGCCAGCCAGGGTTATATAGAAAGACACTGGAGGATGGGGGAATGACAAGAAAAGCCGGTTAGTATGTTTTAAATATTTCAAGCATTCTGTTGTGGAGCTGGAGAGATAGTTAAATATTTAGGAGCACCAGCTGCTTCTCCAGAGGGTCTAGGTTCAATTCCCAGAACATACATGGCAGCTCACACCTGTCTGTAACTCAGTACCTTTTCTGGCCTCCTCCGGCACCGATCACTGACGTGGGCACACAGATAGGCATGCAGGCAAAACACGTATGCACATAAAATAAAAAATAAATAAAAATATCACTATACTCTATTACGTCATCTGACTATTTGGAGTCTAGGGGTTTGTCATAGACCTGTTTTCCTCAGAACCATAGTTTTAAATCCTATGCTTAGGGCTGTATGGTCACAAAATGGCAGCAGAAACTAGAAGTCTCATATCCTCATACCAATCAATGAATTAATCAGGAAGGTAGAGAACAAACTTACCACCATGTAGCAAATGATGACAAGCTTATGACCCTCCTGCCTCAGCCTCCTGAGCGCTGGGATTATAGACATGTTTCTCTAGGACCATCTCTTTCCTTGCAGCCATTTGCTTGTGTTTTGAGACAGGGTTTCTCTATGTAACAGCCCTGGCTGGGCTACAATGCTCTTTGTAGACCGGCCTGGCCTTGAACTCAGAGATCCTTCTGCTTCTGCCTCCAGAGTGCTGGGATTAAAGTTGTGCATCACTACCTTGTGGCCTTCCTTACTATATTATCAGGTGGCCTGAAATTTGAGACCCTCCTGCCTCTGCCTCCCAAGTGCTGGATTGCAGCATGTGCCACCATGTCTAAGTTGGCCTATTTTATTCTTTGCTAAAGCCCCTACCCTGGACCAGGCGTGTGGCACTTGCCCAGTAAAGCTTATCCATCCCTGAGTTGCAGGGCAGCCAGAGTTACATATTGTGACCCTGCTTCTTACAGGGGTAATGAACTTCATGGTGTGATGTGTAGTGCCTTAGGTTCTATGCTATACTCATTCACACATTAGGAAGGATGTGTGAGCACAGGGCGCAGCTGGTGGGAGCACTTTGCGCCTAGGCATCATTGTGAGTGGCTTGTGTATGGGGCCAGTGGGTGAGAGAGCCACCTGGCCTGGAATTCTCCTGAGCTGATGTCCTTGCCGCCTCCCACCCTCTCTGCCCAGACCAGCTTCCTCCCTCTGGCTCTGTTTCTATTTCTGTCTTGCTCTCCTCCTCCCCAGGCCTCAGGGGGCCCCTAGCTGACTTGAAACCTTCTTCCTTTCTCCCCAGGATTAGGAAAGACTTTTCATGGCAAAGTATCTGCAAGGACTGAGGTGCCCAGAACCCCACCCCGCCACCCCAGTAAAGTCCTCAGTCCTTAGAGAGCCCCTCCTCTACCACCCTCCACTGCTCCCAGCATTCTCGATCCACTCACCACCCATCACGATCACACAGGTAAGCTGTGTATCAGCTGGCTTTGGAGACTTCCCTTTCCTCTGGGGTCTGACCACTGTAACATATGACTGTGGATATCTATCTATCTACACAATGTGGGCAGCCAGGAGGGGCAGAAACTGCCCAGCTGAAAGAGCTTAAAGTTGAGGATGGGTCAGAAGTTGGCCCACCTGCCTTTTACTATTACTGATGTTTTTAGCTTGGAGACAGTGTCTGACTAAGTTGCTCAGGCTGGCCTTAAACTCCTGGGCTCAAGCAATCAGCCTGCCCTAGCCTCCTGAGTAGCTGGGAATCCAGTTGTGTCATCTTGCCCAAATCCACCTGCCTTTTTGTTCTTTACTTATTTTGTTGGTGAAATCAAAAACAAAACAACAACAACAAAATCTCAGGGCCTCAAAACTCTGCATGTAGAAGATAATAGTCTTGAATTTTTTACTTTTTTGTATGTATGTCTGTGCATCACACACACATGCCTGCAGAAGCCAGAAAAGGACATGGGATCCCCTGGAACTGGGGAGCTGCCATGTGGGTACTGGGAGTCAAACCTGGGTCCTCCCAAATGTTCTTAACTACTGAGCCATCTCTCCAACCCCTAGTCTTGAACTTTAAAAACATTTTTATTGCATCTATTTGTTCATTTTGTTGGGGTGCACATGCACTATGGCACATGAGTCCTAGGGGTCCAGTTCAGACTGTCAGGCTTGGTGGCAAGAGTCTTTACTCACTGAGCCAACTTGCCAGCCCAGTCTTGGGGTTCTGATTCTCCTGATTCTACTACAGGCATTCTCTGACACGCCCAATTTCTACCCATGCGGTTCAGTCTATTTTCCCAGAACACATACCCATTAGTCTGACATTCCAGAAGCTAAGGAGGATGGTTTAAAGTTCAAGGCCAGCCTGGGCTACATATATCAAGATCCTGTCTTTAAAAAAAAAAAGTGCTGTTTGTGGTGTTGTACAAATATAAGCTCTGCACTCAGGAGGAAGAGACAGGATTGCCACAAGTTTGAAGCCAGTCTGAGATTGTGCATGGTAATGCAAACCCACAATCTCAGCATTTGATAGAGGCAGGAAAATTACTGAAACTTGAGAGGTTGAGAGGCTAGCCCAGCCTACATAGGAAGTTTTCAGGGAAACCCAGTGTTACATAGGGAGATCATGTCAAAAACAATATAACATAAGTACACGTGTGTGTGTGTGTGTGTGTGTGTGTGTGCCTGAGACGTCTCAGTGAGAAAGTGTTTGTGATGCAAACATGGGGACCTGAGTTAAGACCCCCAACACCCCCATAAATAACATCCATAACTCCAGTGCTGGAGGCAGAAATGGATATTGGAGAACCCTGGAGTTCACTGGCCAGCCAGTCTAGCCAAATTGATGAGCTCCCTGAGTGCCTCAAACCCCATCCCAACCCCTGTGGCTGGAGAAGTGGCTCAAAGGTCTTGAGTTGAACTCCCAGCAACCTCATAGTGGCTCACAACCATCTATAATGAGACTTGGTGCCCTCTTCTGTCATGCCGGGATATAAGGAGGCAGAATGTTGTAAACATAATAAATCATTTTTGTAAACCTTCCCCACTCACACATGGATGAATGCACCAGCACATACATGTACATACCACACACACCAAATAAGTAAATACTATGTGGAATTATTTTTTCATTGTTTTGAGATAGTCTAAGTAGCCCTAGCTGGTCTGGAACTCACTGTGTAGACCAGGCTGGCCTCAAGATCACGGAGATCTGCTATCCTCTGCCTCCCAAATTCTGAGATTAAAGGCGAGGGCTACCATGCTCAGCTGAAATTACCATTAAATAAACTAATCTCCATTTTTTGCCCTTCTGGTTAAGCCAGGACATATTATCTAGCCCACCTGGCTTCAGTGTCCTCACCTGTAGAGTGAGTTAACTGAATCCGAATCCTAGGGTTATTGTGAGGATTAGATGATTTGAGGGTTACCCACACCTGTCAGTCATTTTTTTGCTACTTCCCACCTCCAAGTCTGCCTGCCAGTTTCTCGAGCCTGTCATACTCTCTCCAGTCTGATTCAGAGTCCTCCTCCCCCAAGACAGGCGCGCGCGCGCGCGCGCGCACACACACACACACACACACACACACACACACACACACACACACACTTCAGCAGAGCCACCTCAGACACAGAAAAAAGTTTAATTCTGCTGCGGCGGAGGGTCCCGGCTCCGATAGAGAGAGGGATTTGGTTTTTGGATTTTGTCTGTGTGGGGACTCATTGTGGGGACGAGGAAGGCAGAGGAAGAGTCTGGTCCTTCAGTGGGACCTGCCCGGGAGATGGAGAGGAGAGGGAATCAGGAGGGACAAGGACCCAGGACAAAATAAATAAATAAATAAATAAAATTTAAAAAAATTAAGGGCGGTCAGAGAGAGAAGAGACAACCATGGGACAGAGGAGGACAAGTAAGGAAAGACTTAAGACAGACGACAGTGGGCAGGAAAGACGTGGACAGAGAGAAAAGAGGAGCCCCTCCCTCCAAACCGGACCAGGTGGGACCAGGGAGGGGGCTGGGGTTGAGGGGTCTGGAGGCTTTGGAGGCCGCCGCGGGGCAGAAAGAGATCTAGTCCAGCCAGATACAAGGAATGGGCCCCTCGCCCCTGCCCCAGGGTCCCGGGTGGGGGAGGGGACTCGTGTCTCAGTGCTGCAGTGTGGGGGGGCCCCGCCCCTGCCCGCGCTTCGCTGTGTAAGGCACCGGCTCCGGCAAGGTCCGCGAGCGCGCGGGGGGCGGGGCAGAGGGGTGGAGTCGGAGAGGCCGGCGGCCCGCCCCCGAGCCCGGACGCGGCCGGCCCCGCCCCTCGCGCATCCCTTCTCTCCAGCCTTCCCTGCATCCGGCCGGGCTGGGCTACCAAGTGCGGCCCCACGGGCGTCCCGGTGCCCGTGCGCCCGCCGCTCACACGGTACTCTCCAGCATCCATTCGGTGCTGGTGAAGGCCAGGCGTGCCCTGGCGGAGCCCAGCCCCAGGTCTCCATCTTCCCCGGCCGCGCCCCCTCCGGCCCCGTCCAGGTGTGGCGTGGACCGGTGGCGCTTTGTCCGCCGGGCGCGGCGCGGGTAACTGTGACTCTGGAACAGCGCTCCGTAGTCCCCGTCAAAGGAATAGCGTTGCTGCGGCCTCGGCCGGGCCGAGGCTCCCCCAGGAACCAGAGCTAGTGTCGGGGGCGCTGAAGTTGGAGGCCCTAAGGCCCCCGAACGGCTCCTTCGAGGACCTGTCACAGCCCTAGATTCCTCCCCAGAAGTTTCCTCGGAGGGCAGCAAGCACAGCGAGGTGGCAGAGCCACCCAGTGAGCGTCCAAGCACCACCTCTAGCTCAGCGGAAGTCGCCTCGGCCTCGGTCACCTTTGCCTCGATGGCTGCAGGGACAGCCACCTCCCGCAGCGCCTCGTAGCGGTCAGGAGCTGGTGGGGCGGAGGCCTGCTGCCCGCCGGAGCCTGCACCGTTGGTCTGAGAGCACACGTGGCTGACCCGAGGGGGAGACCTGGACGTGCCCTTGAGGCGACGGCTGTCCCCATCGCCGTACACCTTGTAGCGAATCATGAGCAGAACGATGAAAACGAGGACCGAGGCTACGATGACGCCCCCGATGGCGATGATCATGGTGCCGCCCAAGAAGTGGGCCCTCAGCGGGCGGCATGGCGCGGGATCTCCCGCCGTGGTGAATTGCACACAGCCTACCACTCTGGTAGCCGGCAGAGCGGTAGCCCCATCGTCGTAGACTGCCAGCACACACAAGTCATAGGCGCGGCCAGCTGCCAGATCATTCACCAGGAAGGTCTGGCTGGTAGAAGGGATCATCCTGCGGAAAGGGATGGGATCAGGACGGAGTTAGCCCCACTCCTGACCACACCCCCCTTCACTTTATGCCCCAACCACGAGAAACCATGCTACTGGTATCTACAGTGGCCATTCAAGGCAGTCCTCCATTAATATATTACCAGCCTTTCAGGATTGTGGCAAAGACCACGCCCCCTCATCTACATGCCCCGCCTCCAGACTTAACTTGAGTATCACCTACTGGGACTATGTCCATTCATACCTTGGACAATTGTCAGCTGCATATTATCTACCACTTAAGGAGCTCAATGTTATGGCCATTCCTCCTAATCTTCCTTGTTTCAGATGGATACTGAGGTCAACAGTTGTTTTATCCCTGCAAGGGCAATGGCTAACTTCCTCCCTCCACTTCCTGAATGCTGTTTGGTTTTGTTTTTGTGGGGGGGGGGAGTGATTACACCCAGGTCTTCCTTCAAGTACTCTACCCGGTTGAGCTACATTCCCATTCCCAGCCATAATCACACTTTGATCGGCATTTTTGCCTTGGGGAGAGGAGCTGCGATGCAGGACAAGCCCCACCTTTGGGTACAATCTCTAGCTCCTGGATCAGTTTCCCAAGCACCTCAGCTACTTATTTCCATTCATTCCCCTTCTAATTCACTCTGGCTTACAAGCCATGTCTCTTCAAGGCACCTTGAGACAGCTCCTCTTGAGGCAAACAGCTGTTCTATGTATGTATGTGTGCCGATCACTTTACCACCAGAATTCCAAAAATCAATTCCCCAAGTCTCATCTACAACGGACTAAGATGTAGACAAGTATGGGTTTATCGAATGAGGTGGGAGGTACAGCAACATCATCCAGTTAAACACTTAGCAGCCACAACTCGGGGATAGGATCTTCTCTCTTCCCTCGGTGACCATACACAAATTTCTTAACTTCTCTGTGCATCATTTCCCTCTGGTAGGGACAGTGAGTTAACAAGCCTGACTTCATCTGACTCACATTTACTAGTGTGTGTGTGTGTGTGTGTGTGTGTGTGTGTGTGTGTAGGAGAGAGGTCAGAGGACAGCTTGCAGGAGTCTGCTCTCTTCTTCTACCATGTGGGTCCCAGGGATTGAACTCGGGTCCTTAGGCTTGGTAGAGAGTGCCTTGATCCACTAAGCCATCTCACCAGCTGCATCCTCTATGTTCCTCTATGATCCACCTTAAGGACATTCCCTCCCGGAGACTTTGCTCTCTTTCGATGAGCATGTCTTGGAACAGTCTGTTTTGACTACTTCCATCCTCAGGGAACTCAGGCATGTGGAGTGCACTGACTGTCATGCCCGGCACCCAACCTCACAAACTCCTTAGTGGCTCACCGGGAATGAGCCAGCCCGGCCTCTTCCTCTACTTAAGACCATGCAGAACAAGTCCTGGCCCTCCTAAAAAGCCATGCCTCATCCCCACCTGTGCTTACCTGTCAGCGCTCCACAGGCCTGCCAGCCCTGGTCCTGAGACCCCCACCAAGGTCCCTGTCACCAGACACCACTCTCCACCCCAAGACTTCAAGCATAGGTCTCATGGTCTCAAGAATGCTCTTTACTTTCTCGTAAGGCTCTTTGTTTTTCATAGGCCACCCACCTCCAGCTGCCCTGACCCCTTTCTTAAATTAACTTTCCCTTTTCCTCTGCTAGAGGCTTGGATTCCCATGTTTCTTCTCTCCCAAAAAAACCAGTTGCTAAGGACTCCCCCCCCCCCCCTTTTCAAGGACAGTCAGTGGCTCCTTAAGAAAGCCTGAGCCCAGGAGTCTCTCATTGGCTGCCGGACCAGAGCAAGCAGCCTAGCAGGCTTCTGGTTGGATGTCACCTCAGCCCATGGCTGCAGAGAGGAAGTTAACCCCTGCAGTGCCTATGTGCTAGCATCTGCAATGGAGGATGCAGGATAGAACAGGGACCCCATGGAGAAAAGAGTCCTGGGAACTTGCCCACCTGGGGTCATCAAGATCTGTTTGCATGCTGGATCTGGAACTTTCCCCCAACCTGTCACATAGTGGCTGTGGATCAGAAAAGAGCAGTGAATAGAGATGGGGGGAAAAATACAATCTGATTGACAGAAATGCACCATCCATCTCTCCTCCATCCCTGCCTGGCAAACACTAGGTATTCAATAAGTGTGCACTCAAGCATATGAAAAATAGCTCTGCTCCTTTCTGCATCTGAGAGCAAATGATCTCTCCCACAGAGCCTCAGGTTCTGTGTCTGAAAAGAAAGAGAATGCAGGGTGTGGTAGGGCACCTACCTAGAATCCCCCAGTGAGGGGCTGAGGGGATGGCTCAGTGGTAGAGCCCCTGCCTAGAATCGCCCAGTGAGGGGCTAGGAGCATTATAGAGTGATTGCCTAGCATGGGTGAGGCCCTGTGTTCCATCAACAGTACCACAAAGAAATGAATAAATAAAAATAAAATAAAGGCTGGCAAGATGGCTATGTGGGTAAGGGTGCTTGCCACCATACCTAACAACCAGAGTTCGATCCCCAAGAGTCACATGGTCGAAGGAGATTTACACAAGATGTCCTCTGATCACTATATGCATGCTATGGCAAAATGCCCCCCCAAACAAATGTGATTTTAAAAATGTTAAGTAGCGCACACACATACAAAAGCAACTTTAAGTTTTTTAAATGAAATGAATGGTAGTGATGGTAAGTGCTACATAACGGAGTAGGAAGTAGAAATGGCGGCATCTTTGGACACAGTTTATGAAGGCTTCTGTTTGCTGCCTTGGTTTGCTGACTGCTTGTTAGAATGGGTCAGTCTAATCCATCTAGGGAGGGCATCTGACACAGAGTCAATCATGTCATCAGTGTGGGACAGCCAGAAGCAAAAGGAAGAATTCTGTACTTGGTATAGTCCCTGAAATTTCAGAACACCATGAGTTCCCTGCCAGCCTATCTCAAAACCAAAAGAAAAGCAGAGCCCAGAGGAAAGAGAGGCCCCTGGCAGGCAGGGATGGAGGCATGAGGCTGGCTTTTTTGTGTGGGCTGAGCACACTCAAGTTTTGGGGGTGACCACAGATGGGGAAATGGTCCCAGACCCTCTGATAACCCCAAGAAGGTGAAGCCCAGACTAGACATGCAGCAGCCACTCTACAATGCAGAAGGAAGGCAAACACAACATGCATCTATGCACCAGCAGCCATTTATCAAGTGCCCACTGTGTGCCAGCGCGTCCATGGCTGAGAGTCACACTGACAAACTACCAGGATGGAGAGACCACAGGGCTCAGGCCCCACTACCCACTGAACTCCTCAGGTCCCCGGTGCCAATGGTCACTTTGGAAGCAGCTAAGCTGCCTTTTCTTATTGCTTTGTTTGCTGAGGCAAAAATCTCACTGTAGAGCTCACTTGGACCTCAAAGCCACTACATAACCCAGACTGACCTTGGACTGAAGATCCTCTTGCTTCAGCCCCTCAAGTGCTTGGATCACAGACATGTGCCAGCCACATCAGCCTCGGAGCTGTCCTTTGTACCCAGGAAACACACATATTGAATAGCTACTGTTTCCCAGATAAAAATGGAAGTGAGGTAGGTAACTATAAATTCTCATTTCAGGGCTAGACAGTGGTGGTGCACGCCTTTAACCCCAGCACTCAGGAGGCAGACACAGGTGGATCTCTGTGAGTTCGATGCCATTTGGTCTACATATCGAGTTCCAGCACAGCCAGGGCTACACAGTATAATAAGTAAGGGCTACAAGTAATAATAAGTGAATTTCTGTGCATCTCCATCATATGGTTCTTTTTCTTCTCTATAACCTGCAGCCACACCCAAGTCTGGGCCCTGTGCAGTGCAGAAGTAACTTATAAGTACTGATCAGTATTTTTGTCAACTTGACACAAGCTAGGGTCATCTGGGAACCTCAACTGAGAAAATGCTTCCATCAGACTGGCCTGTAGGGAAGTCTGTGGGCGCATTTTCTTAACTAATGATTGACACAGGATGGGAGGGCCCAGCTCAGTGTGGGTGGGGCCACCCATGGGCAGGGGGTCCTGAGTTATATAAGAAAATAGACAAAACAAGGCATGGAGAGGAAACCAGGAAGCAACACTACTCCACGGCCTCTGCTTCAGACCCTTCATCGTGCTTCCTGTCTTGAATTCCTGCTCTGATTTCCTTCATTGCTGCACTGTGACTTTAGAGTTATAAGATGAAAAGTAAACCCTTTCCTCCCCAGATTGCTCTTGGTCAGAGTGGGGTTTTTTTGGTTTGGTTTTGGTGGTCATTGTGTTTTTTGTTTTGTTTTGTTGTTGCTTTGGGACAAAGCTTCTCTGTGTAACTCTGGCTGGGTCTGAAACTTACTCCATAGACCAGACTGGCCTCAAACTCAGGGATCCACCTGCCTCTGATTCCTGAGTGCTGGGATTAAAAGTGTGTGCCACCACGACTTGGTCACAGTGTTTATCACAGTAATAGAAATCAAACTAGAACATTACATTTCTATTTTTCTCATGCTTTTTTGCTTTCTGTTTCTATAGTCAATCCGATTGGAATACTAGTATCGACATAAATAGAAATGTAACTATAAACGCATGTGTTTTATGTGCCACAATGTTTAACTGATGGGATTCATGAACAGAGGCCCCTGGAGAGCAAGTGATGCTAACCATGAACCCTGTGGAATATTTGTTGTTTGGGACTGGGAATGGAGCTCAGTGCCTCCCCCAGCTTAGCAAGTACTCTACCACAGAGCCACGCCCCCAGCCCCTCACTGGGGGATTCTAGGCAGGGGCTCTGCCACTGAGCCACGCCCCCAGCCCCTCACTGGAGGATTCTAGGCAGGGGCTCTACCACTGAGCCACGCCCCCCAGCCCCTCACTGGGGCATTCTAGGCAGGGGCTCTACCACTGAGCCACGCCCCCAGCCCCTCACTGGGGGATTCTAGGCAGCGGCTCTACCTTACTATAACTGAGCTCCACCTCCAGCCCTCTTTTTTTCTACTTTTTAAATTTTGAGACAGAGTGTCTCCAAGCTGTCCAGGCCAGCCTTGTCCTTGTAATCCTCCTGCCTCAGCTTCCCAAAAACTAGGATCTCATGTCTGAAGCACCAGGCCCTGTTCAGTTTTATAACTCCATTGCCCAACCCTTCACTGGCTCATGTTGTGTTGCACAAACATCTCCTTAGCTCAAGAAAAACAAAGACAGCAGAGCAGAAAAAAAAAAAAAAAAAAAAAAAAAAAAGGAGGTATCTACAGGCCTATCCAAAGCCCCATCTAAGCAAGGTCAAAGGGATGGATGAGCAGATGGGACGGAGGGCAGGATGGGTCGGAGGGGAGTTCCTGGGGCTGCAGTACCGCACTCACCTGTAGACTAGAGAGTCATCCGCAGAGCTGTTGTATTGTACTTGGTACATGCGGATGCCAGGCACTGGCCTCTGGGCCGGCCAGCGGATGAGCACAGAGCTGGAGGTGAGTTCAGCAGCCACAAGTCGGCGTTCAGTGGCTGAGTCGTTGGCACCAGGTCGGCCCGGTGTGGCGATGTCAGAAGAACCAGGCTCAGTGAGAGGCGGCGGGGCAGCAGGCGGGGGTGCCATCAATGGTAGAGGTACTACACATACCTCCACCGGTGCGGTAGCTTCCCCGGCAGCATTGGAGGCTATGCAAGTGAAGGTACCGCTGTCCCTCAAGGTGGTGATGGTCACATCCAGCGTTCCATCCCCACGGACCCGGGTCCGGCTGGAGTTCCCCAGCAGCCGCCCATCAGGTGCCACCCAATGCACCACGGGCTCAGGGTCACCCACCGCCCGGCAGCGCAGACTGACAGCTTGGCCCTCTACTACCAGGGCCTTGCCCCCTGCCTGCCGCGTGATGAGCGGAGGCTCACATAGAAATTCCTCCTCCGGAATGGACCAGAAGTAGCGGTCAGTGAGATGCTCAGGTGTGGCGCATGTCTCCAAGTCATCCTCCCTGGTCAGGCGCCGCAGCCAGAGCAGTTCACAGTTGCAATGCAATGGGTTGCCACCAAAGCTGACGGTCAGTGGGGTGGGTGGCTTGGGCCCACCACCCTGGGACCTCAGGAAGAGCCCGTCGGGGGGTAGTTTATGCAGACGGTTAGAGGTCATGTCCAAGCGCACGAGTTTGTGCAGCTGCACGAAGGTGCCCTCCGCAATATGATCAATGAGGTTGTGGTCCAGTGTGAGGGTGTTCAAGTTCACCATCTGACCCACGGCCTCCCATGGCAGTGCCTCCAGGTTGTTGTAGGACAGATCCAGGTCTTCCACAGTGGACAGGAAGGCGTCAAAAGCTGCCGACTCCACCTTACGGATCTGATTGTTGCCGAGGATCAAGTGGCGGAGGTTACCCAAGCCTCGGAGCTGGTCCCCACGCACCTCCGCCAGGCGGTTGCTGTCGAGGTGCAGGGCCCGGAGTGCACGGAGGTCAGCAAAGGCGCCGGCTGCCACCTGACCAATAGTGTTGCGAGACAGGGTGAGGTGGACTAGGCTGGTCATGTTGGCGAAATCTCGACGACGGACAGCCGCAATGAAGTTGTCAGTGAGCCGCAGCTCTACTACGCGCCTGTCGATGGCGGGCGGTACGAAGAGCAGGCCGGTCTTGGCACACAGCATGGTCAATGTCGGTGCCACGTTCTGGCAGATGCAGCGACCAGGGCAGGGCTGGCCGCGAGATGCCCCTGCCCAGAGCAGCAGCAGGAAAGGGAGAGCAGCAGGCGGTGGCGAGAGAAGCCCAGAGGAGAAGGGGCCTGGAGCCATGGTGCAGGGAGGAGGCAGGAGAAGCAGGAAGTGAGACCTGGAGGGGAGGAAGATGGTCAACCAGGCAACCTGGCTTGGTCCCCACCCCTGCAACCCAGGGACGTACTGCTGAAAGTCAAACGGGATCCTTTAACTCCCGGTGAATGAGTTCTGGACAACAGACTTCAAAACAGCTGGCACCCATGGCCATCTTTCCTTTTCTTTTTTGAGACACGGTCTCACTATGTAACCTGGGCTGACCCTGACCTAAACTCACTTTGTAAACCAGGCTGGCCTCAAAAATCCCACAGATCAGCCTGACTCTGCCTCGAGAGGGCTAGGATTAAAGTCCTGGGACACCACCTGGCCTTTCTTTTTTCTGAGACAAAGAATCACTGTATCTCTGGTTGGCTTTGAACCCATGATCTTCCTGTGTCTGTCTTTTAAGTGCTTGCATTACAGAGCTGGGCCAAAACACCCCAATCTGACTACAAAATCTCCATAGCGATTGGCAAATCTCCACTGCTGTCACTCTGAGGTCTTCTACTCTCCCAACTGTCATGCTTCTAGGAGCTTCCCAATTGCCCATGACCTCCCAGCCCACCAGATAGTTTAGAATCACTGTTGGCTGAAATTTAGGACCAAGGATGACAAACACACACACTCTGAATTCCGATTCCAGCTGTGACACTTACTAGCTATGTGACCTTGGGCACATGTCTGAACCTCTCTGAATCTCGGTTTCTTCATCTGTAAAAAAGGAGAGAAAAAACAGGCGTTTGGTGAAGGTTATGGTCACTCTTAGTAAGCACAGCAGTTAGGGCTGCATCTGCCACGTACAATGTTCTGGGTTGAACACGTACTAGAAAGTATTAGCTGCAACAACCCTGGGTGCCTAATACATTCCAAGTGCCGAACTGTGTGTTATGGTAAGAGTGAGTGCTTTCATTTTTAGCTATTATTAATATTGTGTATGAGTGGCAGGGTCAGGGGACACGTTTGTGGCATTGGCTCTTTCTTCCCTCCTTCATGTGGCTCCCAGGACTCGAACTTAGGTTGCTGGGTTTGTGCAGCAAGCTCCCTCACCTGATGAGCCATCTTGCTGGCCTACAGGTGCTTTAAAATCAAACACGTTTGAGGGCAAATTCCAGTTCTCTCATTTACTAACTCTAGGAGACCACAGGAATGATTCCCACACCTAAGCCATAATTTCTTCATTTTTCTCCCTTTTTGTTGTAGGATCTGAGTGAGTTCCAGGACAGTCAGAGCTATACAGAGAAACCCTGTGTCAAAAAACCAAAAAAAAAAAAAAAAAAGGAAAAAAATTTTTTTTGTTATTTTTCACTTGTTTGTTTATGGTATAGTGGTGTTATTATGTAGTCTAGGATGGTTTTGAACTCACGGATCTCCCCAATAATAAGTTTTGCTACTGTTATTGAGACAAGGTCTCACTATGTAGACCAGGCTGGCCTTGAATTCAGAGATCCACCTGCCTCTGCCACCCAAGTCCTGGAATGAAGGGCATGTCCACCACATCCTGTTCTTATGACAGGATAGTATGTAGTGCATGCCGTTCTAGAACTTGCTATACACTTGAGGCTGGCCTTGAAATCTTGATCTTCCTGCTTCAGCCTTCCAAGTATTAGAATCACAGGTGCATGCTACCACACCTGGACAGGCTGAAATGGCTTGACTTTGTATGTTAAAACAATAAGATCTTCACGGAGTTTATGCATGGAATCCACTGAGTATGATGCCTAGAATACAGTAAGCACGCAATGAATATTAAGGCCCTCCACCTAAATTGGTGGATGAAACAAAACAAAATGGAAAAGGTGGGCAGAGTCGAGAAAAAAGCATCAGAATTAACCTCAGTCTGGGGAAGTCCTCCTGAGTATGGTTTCTTTCTAGGTTTAACTGAGCTCCGGAGCAGGGGTAGCCAGTACCAACAGTAGGTACACAGGAGGCCCATGTACACCTACAGGCGCATGTGTGCATACACACGATGCCTCTGCTCCAGGCAAAACCTTCCGGCGGGAATTCCCCCTCCAGCAGCTGCAACCCACGACATGTCAGCTCCCGTCACAACACAGGGTGGGCGGTGGGGGAGGGGGCAAAGAGGAAAGGATGGGAAGGGGGGCATCCTTGAAGCTTTTCACCCCACCCTGTCCTATGCCCCAGCCCCTGCTGACCAACTTTTAAGGAATCTATATACAATGGTAGCCATATGTGACCTTGATCTTTTTGCCCTGGGGAAGAAGACTGGGACCAAGAAAGCTGGAGAGAGTCTGAGAGAGCCAGAAGGAGGCACGTGGGGAGGAATGGAGAGAATGACTAGAAGGGAGCGGGGCAAAACGACGAAGTAGCTTCCCAAGGCAGAGAAGTAAGCTTGGTAAGGTTCAGCACAACATGTGCCTGGAATCCACCAATGAGGGCCTGGGGGCGTGGCCTGGTGGGAGAGCACCAGCCTAGAATCCAGCAATAAGGCTGGGGGGGCGTGGCTCAGTGGGAGGGCACGTGCCTAGAATCCCCCAGTGAGGGGCTGGGGCGTGGCTCGGTGGAAGCATGTTTGCCTAACATGCTTGAGCTCCTGGGTTCCCTCCCCAGCACTGCAAAAAGGGGACAACCAGGTATGGTGGCAGACACCTGTAATCCCAGCACTCAAGAAGTTCAAAGATGTAGGCTAGCCTGGGCTACATGTGGAGACCTTGTCTCAAGAAACCAAAAAGGAGCTGAAAAGACAGGTAACAGTGGAACAAAGAAGAAAACAATCCGAGTGAAGACGAAAACACAGCAAAGAGACTGAGCCAGAGAGACGAACAGAAGAGGAAGAGGACAGAGAAGCAGAGGAAGGAAGAAACAAGGAGAGAAGGAGGCAGAAATGGGCTGAAGAGAGAGACTGAGGCCGGGCCAGGGCAGCCCAACATCTCCGTGCACCCCCATCCCCATTCTGCCTTCCTTCCCCTCTAGGCTGTTCTGTACTGACTTGGGACCCAGGTCTGGAAAGCAAGCCTCCATCATTAGGAGCCCTGTAAGGCACCTGATTGCTTTGGGTCTCTGGGGCCCAGAACCCTGTTCTGTGAATCAAGCAGGGAGCGTCTCCTCACACAGCTGCAGCACACTCTTAGGTAAGGCAGCTACAGTGAGAACAGCCATCGGCTACCCAAAGGCCGTGGCACCTCTCAGGGTCCGAATCCCATCCCTCTGCCAGGGTTCACACCCCAAGTCCCGGGCTTATTTTGAAGAGGGCTCAAATAAGAACAGTTTGTAGCTGGGCGGTGATGGCGCACGCCTTTAATCCCAGCACTCGGGAGGCAGAGGCGGGTGGATCTCTGTGAGTTCCAGGCCGGGCTGGTCTATAAGAGTGAGTTCCAGGACAACTAGAGCTATACAGAGAAACCCTGCCTGGCAAAACCTAAAAACAAAACAAAAAGGATATTTTGTAACAAGTTTATCTTAGCCTCAGACTATATAAATGCTACATAAAGGTTAGATGACCCTAACATTGTGTCTGTTTGTATGTGTGAGTGAGATGCTGGGGATGGAATCCAGGGCCTTGTGCATGCTAAGCAAATGTGCTCTGGCTAAGCCACACCCCCCAGTCCCTCACTATTGGATTCCAGGCAAGTGTTCTACAAGTGAGCTATTCCACCCTCCTTTTTTTCTCTTCCTCCTGCTCCTTTCCTCCTTCTCCCCCTCCTCTTCCTTCTTTTTCTGAAACTGGGTCCCACTGTGTGGCCTCAAACTCACAATTCTCCTGCTTCAGCCTACCGAGTACTGGGATCACAGGCCTGTATCACCACACTGGCAGGGGTTAGTCCATGCCTACAAACACTTATGGCCCCTTACTGATAAAATGGGACAGGCCCCATTTTTGTGACCACCTTATCTATCTTGAGAGATGTCATATGCTGACATATGGGTTCCCTCTGAGTCTCCTGACCAGCATGAGATGAACCCTTACCCAACTACAATGCTCATAGGCTCATCTCTACTCTTTAGTGGGAGTGGGCACCTACCTCTCTGGACACTGTGGCATCCTGCACTTGAGTACACTTAAGTAGAACTCTGAGCCTAGGCTCGCTCAGAATGGGTGGTTTCACCCCGCATCCCTTGCCCGGCCCAAGGCACAACCCACATCCCTTGCCCAGCACAAGACACTATGCTTACCTCTCTTCAAGGAGTCAGGGCCTGGGCCTGTACCTGCAAAAGAAAAAAAACATAGTTAGCATCTTCCAGCTTCTTTCTAGTCATCCAGGCCTACCTTGGAGACCATCTGAGCCAAGGGAATCCCTACAGTGATTGCTTTCTCAGGCCCCTATTACAAGATCTTCAGACTGTCAGTCTGAACCTTAGGACAGACAGTCATGGCCAAACCTTAGGAGACTAGGCCTCAGGATTGTATACCCTCCAAACCCCAGGAGTTCAGGATGTGGGCTTTGCCCTCTGTTGTCTCAGGAGCTCTGGACCCTTACCCCATCCCCTACCTGCATCAGTTTCCTGGAGTATGGAATCTACTACCCTCTTAGCAGCCCTAGAATTCTAATTCCCAGGCTTCTCTTTCTGAGACCTGGGAGTCTCTGGACCAGACATCTTACAACTCAATAGTTTTCAAATGGGCTCCCCAACTTCAAAGATATGAGTGGCATCCAGAGCGCAGAAGCATCAGGAAGTTCCTACCATGCCATCACATCTCAATCCATGTTAATATTGGTGAGCCCAAGCCAGTCCACGTCAGTCCCAACCCAAGCTCTACAGACCCACACCACCCCAGTCTGGGTGCTCCCTACCCTCTAGGGCACTGAGCCCAGGGTACAGTCACATTTGTGTCCCAGACTATGCCTTGGCATGCTACAGACAGGTTACACTCATAGACCCAGAAGTAGGGTCAATCTTGTGCCCAAGGCACAGGTGCAGATACATGCCTAAGCACACAGAACCTGGTCCCCAGAGACAAAAGTTGAAAAGGACTCCCAAGAGACATACATCCTCAAGGTTGTCATACCTGCATACACACACACCACACACACACACACACACAGAGAGAGGCTCTCCCTCACACACAGATGTATAGACACAGGGGGACATATATGCCCCTTAACAGACAACCAGCCATCTGTATCTATATAACCCTTGCACACTCGCCAACACACAGCGGCTCACACACACAAGACTCACCTGCACAATGAAAGATACACAGGTGCACACTCTTACACACCTCGACACATCCATGGAACTTCACATATTCCCCCTGTGCAGTCACACGCTGACAACACACCAACAGACACATGCAGCTTCAGCAGGCACACACTTCACACATACACACAGAGCCCTTAGCACGGACACACACTGACAAAGCTAACAGTCGTGAATAAGCACACGGGCACTCTGAGAGGCTCAGGCATCACAGATGCACACATGCCACAGTCCCGGGAGGAACTAACACACTTGTAAATGCACACAAAATACCAAAGCACGGAGCACGGTCAACAGAGCAACCAGCTTCACACTCATTGTCACCGATATCATTCCTGAGGGCCCAGCACACTCCTGTTCCACCTACCTGCCAGGCCAGATACATTCTAACACCCCTGCTGTCCCTGTACACCCCGCCCCAGAGAGAACCGGGCACAAGCCAGGGTTAAAGGTCATAGTTCAGCAGGTGGGACTTCATAGGAATGGGAAGGGCTGGGTCTCAAAGCTGGGTCCCCAAAAGATTCTGCCACCAGCAACCCCCCAGAGTTTCTCCAGCCTTGCCAGGAAGATATAAGCAACGGAGGCCCTATCTGCAGACACCCGGCAGGTGGGGGAGTTAGGGTGGGGTGGGGAGGGAAGGGCCAGGTCTTCACCCCACCCTCCACTCTCAAACCCTCACCCCTCACTCCAGGGCCCATCTGTCCATCCCTCGGCCTCTCATCCCTCCATCTGTCCACCTCCCGGCCTCCCATCCCCCTCCCCAACCAGCCACGGAAAAGAGGAGGAAGACATGGCCGTCTCCCCCAAGGATCACTGAGGACCCCCCCCCAGTTGACATGGACCGAGGGAGCAGCCAAGCACCCCCCCACACACACACACCTACACACACACACATCCATACAGAGGCCTGGCCCCACTATGCGCTGAGCCTCAGCCCCCACCCCAGCAGGGTACCTGACACAGACACACAGACACACACATACACACACACACGCGCGCGCCCTCGGAGACATCCAACCCGCATACAACACACACACACACACACACACACACACACACGGACACCCGAGAGAACACACCCGGCTCCGCAGCCCCTCGGATGGACATCCAGCCCCGCCGGACACAGACCCCCAACGCAGCCAGCCGCACGCGCGCACAGGCCCACCGGGAGCCCCGCACACCTGGGCGCGCAGCCCCCGCACACACCTGCACACAGCCCCTCGGACGGGCGCGCCACAGCCCCCCCCGATCCGGCGCCCCGGAGTGTGTGGGACACACGCGCGCACACACGCACACATGCACACATGCACACGCACGGCCCACCGCGGCCCCGCACACGCCCGGATGGCCACACCGGCGGGGCGCCGGGCACACACAGGGCCGCGGGCGGGCGCACGCCGGGCCCCGCCGCAGCGCCGCGGACACACGGGCACGCTCGTCCCCGCGCCCCCGCCCGCCGCTCCCAAAGAGCCCCAGGGACCGCCGCGGGCCACGCTCACCCAGCCCGGGGGAGGGGGCCCGGGGCCCGGCCCCGCCGCCGCCGCCGCCGCCTCGCGCCGCGCCATGGTGGGGGGAGGGCCGGGGGAGGGGGCGCGGTGCCGCGGGGCCGCCTCCCGCCCGCCTCCCGCCTGCCCGCCCGCCCTCCCGCGCGCCGCCGCGCTCCGCCCTCCGCGTCGCCGCCGCAAGGGGGGAGGGGGCGCCGGCCCTAGGTGGGGCGGCCACACGCACGCCCAGGTCGCTGCAGACCCCTCTCCACTGCCGAGCGCCGGGGTCCAGCCTGGGCCCCGGCTCCACCCCTGTCCCTCCAGACCACGCCCCAAAGGCTACTTGGACCCCCCCCACACACACACACACACCAGCTCGCTCCATCTTCAGAGTGCAGGTCTTACCTCCTTTGAAACTCCAGACCATGTTGGTGAGCCACCTGGGAGCTGTTTCGTGACCTCAGATGGTGGGGAGGAGGGCACACCCTGTCAGGAAACCTAGACCACATACCTCTAATTCCAGAGGGACCTCAGAGCACAGCACAGCATCCCAGGGGATCCAGGCCCCCACCCCACACCCATACCCGACACTCAGGTGGCCCCCAAGCCACACCCCGGAATTCATGGAGGACTCAGACTGTGTATCAAAGTCCAGAAAGAGCCCACCTTGCCTTGGTCCATTGGGGAACCCTGGGAAACCAGATGATGCTTCATTGCCATCCAGAGTGAAATCTGAGTCCAGCCCCAACAATGCCCTTCCTCCATCAAGGGCCTTCATTTCCCTGCCCACCAGGAGGAATTGTAGATCATGGCTAATGTCTAAGAGACCCAAACATCTCTTCTGCCCATGGAAGACCCTTAAATGCTTCTCATTTCCCCAACTATACCGGAGGCCACCGTCCAGCATCCTTGGGGACCTTGGCACTTTCACTCTGTTCTTTTCAGGGTACCCCTTGGTTAACCTCTCCCCGTTTGCCGTAGGCTCTTTCCCATCCACCCCCAGCAATCAGCCCTGCTTCCCTCAGTCCCTGCAGCCCCTGTGACTCCCATGGATCCCAGCATACTTCCAGCTCCCACCTCAGAGCTGACCTCTCCATCCTTTCCTGAGAGCCCACCGGGCATCTCTTTCTGAGATACACACAGGTTCCCCCAAACTCAGCAGTCTTCCCTCAAGATCTTATTGCAGCCCCTGTGTCTCAAACACTTTCCATTAGGGACCCCCCCATGTGGAAATCCTTCCCCAAGCCCCATAAACCATTGCTAGGCACACCCCCAAAACCAACTCGCCACTGCAGACCTCCCCTTTGGTGAAAGATGGTCCAACTCAAAGCCAAGAGGAGCACAGGGATGCTCGCATCTCCTCTTTCCAGAGTCCTCCTGTCCACACCCTCCATCACCACCCCACCTTATGCAGGGTTGAGGAGACCGACAGGAAAGAGGGACTGGGGAGGGCGCTGTGTCTGTGGAGCCTTGCTGTTCAGCACAGCGGATGGTGGCTAGTTCCTGTAACCCAAGCTTTAGGAGGCTACAACGGGCAGATCCTGGGGCTTTTTGGCCACCCACCGTAGCCTAACCAGCCAGTCCTAGGTCTCAGTGAGAGAATCTGTCATAAACAAGGCAAACCTGTGCTGGAAAGATGGCTCAGCTTCTCTTCCCAAGGCCCCAGGTCCAATTCCCAGCACCTACATGGCAGCTCACAAATCTGTGTAACTCCAGTCCCGGGGATCCAGTGCCCTCTTCTGACCTCCACAGGCGCCGGATATGCAAGTGGTGCCCAGATATCACACCCGTACACAAGATATATAGAGATATAGTTATAGATATGGCTTTTTGAGACAGGGTTTCTCTGTGGCTTTGGAGCTGTCCTGGAACTCGCTCTGTAGACCAGGCTGGCCTCAAACTCACAGAGATCCTCCTGTCTCTGCCTCTGGAGTGCTGGGATCAAAGGTGTGTATCACCACAACCCAGCTCATAAGATATGCTTTGTCTGTACTGGGATTAAAAACATGTGCTCCACCACTGCCAGGCAGTGCACCACTACTGAGAAAGAACACCTGGGGTTGACCTCTGGCCTACACCCCCCCACACACACACACAAAGTACATGCGTGTGCCACACATAAGGAAACAGGAGAATAACGGCAGCAAGTGTGAGAAGAGATGTAGCAACGCTTCGGTAGCACTGATGCTCTGGCCTCAGGTAAGGAAGAACTCCCATGACTATCCCCATTTTACAGATGAGGATCATTGAGGCAGAGAGAAATGTAGTCCCTCGTCCAGGGGCACAGAGGTAATAAATGACAGCATAACTTAAAAATGAAGGGGAAAGAGAGGTGAAGTCAGGCTTGGCTGGAGATGAGGAAAAGAGGGGAAGGCAATGGAGACACCTGATGGATAAATGAAGAGCCTACCAAGCTGGAGATACTGGAATACTGAAAGTACACAGTGCAGTTGTCTGACTGAAACCCTAATTCTTGCAGCAGACCTTCCGATACAGACTAATGACCAAGCCTATAATTCTTCACCTAGACTCTACCACAAATTCTGGCCCTACCTGCTGCCTCTTTGGACCCGCCCCAAAGCATAAATCCCAGCTCTATGTGATGGGCTGGCCCCGAATTTATTATGTAAACCAAGCTGGCCTTGAACTCAGAGAGATCTGCCTGCTTCTGCCTCTTAGTGCTTGGACTTGAGGCATACGCCAACGTGCCCAGCCTGAGACACTAGATTCTTAGAGCTGACTCCAAAGTCAACAATATTCATCTTAGGCTCCGCCCACAAAGACAAGCCCCACCTCTTCTGCCTAAGCCACACCCTCCATCTTTGCCTTCCTACCCAAAGAATTCTAACTTTCAGCCTAAGCTTGGAGTCTTCATTCTGTGCTGAAATCCCTACCTGTGTCCAAGAATAGGAAAACCTAGAGTGCAGATTCAAAATGTAGAGAGCTGGGGCTGGCAAGATGGATCAGTACCCACTGGCACCTCTGGCCAAGACTGGAGATCTGAGTTCGAGCCCAGGAACCCACAGGTGGAAGGAAAGAACCAATTCCTGAAAGCGGTCCTGTAGCTGTCCCGCATGTGCGCATACATGCTAGCGCGCACGCGCATACACACACATATATATGCACACACACAAATAAACGTGCACACAATACTTAAAACTTAATAAAATACATCAATAAACCGCCCCCCCATTATACTGATTCTTCATTGGATAATCTGATCTGAACCCTCTGATTGGTCCTTGCTTTCCAAATTTGCTCTCCATTGGGCGTGTCCCATACATGGTCCTTTCTGATTGGATTATTTACAGTTACACCCTAAAAGCAAGTTCAACTCTGAAGGATAGGGAAGGGAGGGGGGATCTGGGAAGCAAGACAATGGCTGGTGAGATTCTTGCCTATGCAGTGTGACCCTTGGACATGGGGAAGACTGTGGCTTCTGCTTCTGTGCCTCAGTGTGTTTATCTTTAAATTGAGGCTAATCGTGGCCACCTCTTCGTGGTGCGTTGTAGGAATTAAGCCAATGCCTGTTATGGTGCCTACAAATACGTGGTATGCATTTGAGGTTGTGCCTGTGTGACCTTGGGCAAGTCTCACTGACTCTCTAATCTCCGCAAGCCAGGCTTCCTTGACCTTCATTAGACACCCCTTCTTGCCCCCAGACCTCTTTCCCACCTCCAGCCATTGGGGGCTGAGGCTGTGATCAGAAGTAATGTGGGGCCAGGCGGTGGTGGCACACCTTTGATCCCAGCACCCGAGAGGGAGGCAGAGGCAGGTGGATATCTGAGTGCCAGGCGAGCCTGGTCTACAGTGCAAATTCCAGGACAGTCAGGGCTACATATATATATTATGGGTGGAGTGGGACCTCTGGCAGGGAGGAGACAAACGCCCCCAGAACATGAAGGGCTAAAGGCATTTCTCCCGGACCCTGTTTAGAGCTATTCTCTCCTGAACTTCTCTGCAAAGGGCGTGGCTTGACTGGAGACAAGGGGACAGGGATGGAAGGGACAGGATGGGGTGAAGAATCTGAGGGCTGGGAGGGAGAGGCAGGGTATGGATTCCCTTTTAGACCCACCCCCAGGAGCACCAGGGTTGGGGGAGGGACAGCCCAGGCCCAAGGTCACTGTGTCATTGTTACCATGGCAACGGCCACCTCAACCGGGAACCTGGAAAGAGGTAGAGGGAGGGAGTTCCAGGGGCCCCGGGTGTGAGGATTGAGAAAACATGGGCGACCCTGGGAGTACTATAGGAAGTATGGTCCACCTCTCTCCTGACTGCCCATCTCAGAGCCCTGTATACCCTGGGTACTCAATAAATGTCCAAAGGGAGATGGAGGTTCGAGAGAATTCAATACCTAGAGGTGCCGGAAGAAAAGAGTGTGGGGAGTCTCCTTCCCTGACTCCTCAAGCCCTCTGGGGTTCACAGAGTCCTGAAATCTATTCACCTCCCAGGGTCCTGGGCCTTCAGGCTCGTCTGGCCTCGAAACTATCCATCCTCAGCACCCTCCTGGTGCCAGAAGCAGTACATTCTGATCTTTTGACTTTTGGGGGGGGTTAAGTTATTTCTACCTGAGGGCTTGGCTGAGAAAGGTAACATTTAGTGCCAGAAGATGCCTTCGAGCCCCAGAGCAGAAGAGGTGAAGAGAAGGGTGCACTCTCCTCTCAGGGGCCGTTTCCTCCTCAGGAGTGACCCCTTCACAGATCTGAACATCCCCCAAAGTCCTTAAGGGGACCCAGGCCACCCATTCCATCCCAGGAACCCCATGGTCCCCTCCCTTTGAGAAACAGGTGTTTTTTCCTCCCGGAGTCAGCTTGGTTCCACTAGAAACGTCCGCCCCCTGCCGGCCACAAGGTGGAACTGCAGAGACTGTCTGCCAGTACCGACAAAGAGTCAGAACCTTCAAGATAAGGATTACTAAGTTCCTGGCTTTATTTAGCTCTTGGATGTTCATTAGCCTAGGAGTCTGAGTCTTCAGACGAAAGGATTTCAAAACACTGGCTCAAAGGTCAACGAAAGAAAGCTAACTTTTCTTGAAGCCAGGCCTCTGTGAGGTCGTCTGTGGTGCGGATTTCAAACACCTGTGGAGAGAGGTTATGATCCAGTGAGGTTTCCTGACCCCTCAGACTCAGGAGTCCAGATTCCAGCCCTCCTCCCTCAGACCCAGGAGTCCAGGCCTCCAGATGCCTCGTTTCTCAGACCCTGGAGTCCAGGCCCACAGCTCTTCCGTCAGATCTGAGGATCCAGGCCCAACCCTCCTCTCTCAGACTCAGGGGTCTGGGATCTAGCACCTACCCCCTAGCCCCAGGGGTTCAGCCCCTGGGTCCCTCCCTCAGACCCCAGGGTCACCCAGCCCCTCCAGAGCTGGGGCCCCTCTGGACCTTTGTAAGCTCCGCCGTCTGCACCAGCCTGTTTTTACTACCGGCATACATCATCTGTTGCTCAGGCTTGCAGCCTGTGTGGAAGAGAGAAAGGGTGTGCTTGGGAGCTCAACACCAGTAGTCATGTAGGCACAGCAGTTAAGGAGGCCTGTAGGAGGTCTCTGAAGGCTGCACTTGGGGTTTCTAGATTTGGTTAGGAGCTTCAGGTTATAGTGAGGGTGTCTGGGAGGAGATTCGGGACCCTGAGGGGATTCCCTGGTAGGATGAACAAGAATGCGTGGGAGTCTTCACAGCTCCCACATACAATGCACCCCACACACACATACACAACATGAATACACTTTTTTTCCTCTTAGGGTCTCACTATGTAGCTCAGACTGGCCTTGAATTCACAAAGATCTGTTTTCCCCTGCCTCCTGAGTGGGCCTAAGAGCTTGAGTCACCATGCCTGCCCTGTTTGTTGTTTAGATAAGGTCTCACTCTGTCGCCTAGGCTGTCCTGAAACTCGCCATCCTTCAAGCCTCAGCCTCCCAAGTGCTGAGGCTACAGGCAGAACACGATCTTGCCTGGCTACAACACTTTTAAGGCACTTCTTTGGGGGAGGAAGTTGTTTTGTGTTTGTTTGAAACAAGATCTCTATGTAGCCCTGGCTGTCCTGGAACTTGCAATGCAGACCAGGCTGGCCTCGAACTCACAGAGATCCACCTGCCTCTGCCTCCTGTGTGCTGGCACTAAAGGTGTGCACCAACATACCCAGCTACTATGATACCCTTGTATTCGTTTTTCTTTTGTTTTGGTGGTGCTGGGAATGGAACTCGGGGCTTGTAGCATGCCAGGCTGGTGCTCTCCCAGCTCCCGTATTCATACTGTGGTGCGGGTACCCACTTACAGACAACTCCACAGCCACACACACACACACACACACACACACACACACACACACTGCCCCTCAGAACCTAAGGCCCTCTCCTTAGGACAGTCGAAGCTGTGTCTCACCCACAGGGCTTGAGAAGATGAAGCACAAAGGGTAGGACACCCTGCCATCGGCATGCGCGTACTTGTAGCTGTAGACCACGAACCTATGGTAGAGAAAGGAAGTTCACACTCAGGACCCGAGAAGCAGCCCAATTGCTGTCCTTTGAGTTCACAGCCTTGAATCTGGAGCTGGTCATGGTAGCACACACCTGTAGTCCCAGCACTTGGGACGGATCTGAAGTTCGAAGTTAACCTCAGCCACACAGGGAGTCTGAGGCCAGCCTGGGCTACATCAGCACCTGTTCTCAAATACTTTTTAACAAATGTAATTTAATATTGAGCCTTCTCAGCCACGGGGATATTCACTGGGAGAGCAGACCCCCAGAGAGCTCTGGGACACGCACGTAATGGGTCTCCACTCCCCTACCCCAGCAGTGGGATCTGAGCGCACAGCAGTCACATGATGGTGCCTGCCTGACACAGGAAGTCAGACTGGATGTGAGCCAAGCTAAGCGCCACCGTCCAATGGATCAGCTTTTACACAAAAGACAGGCTCCAAGATAAAACTCCAAAGAACATCAGCATTGAAAATCCCAGAGAATGAGGTTCCATTGTGGGCCCCGGGGCTTTGCAGTTATCAAAGGTCCCTGAGTCTGGGAATGAGGTCCAAAACTGGAGAAACCAAAAAAAGAATTGAGTCAAGATGAAAGATGTGAACAGATCAGTTTGAGTCAGGCGCGGTGGCACAGGTCTGTCATAGCACTCAGAGGGCTGAAACAGGATGGAAATCAGAGGGGGCAGGGTACACTTGGGAGGTAGAGGCAAGATCAGGAAGTTAGACCTGTCCTTGGCTATGTACTGAGTTCAAGGCCAACCTGGGATGCATGAGACCGTGTTTCAAAGGCATAGCAAAGAGATGGCTCTGTGGTTGAGTATGTTTTTTGTCTTGCACAGGACAGAAGAGTTCCCAGGACCCATGCCAAGTGGCTCACATATACACATGCACATATATAATACATTTTAAAAAAATTACAAAAATTTCAAGCCGGGGTTTATCTGTGTAACAGTCCTGGCTATTCTGGAACTCGCTCTGTAGACCAGGCTAACCTCAAGCTCACGGAGATCCTCCTGCCCCTGCCCCTGCGAGCTGGAATTGAAGGTGTGCACCATCACCGCTGTCTGGCAAATTACACATTTTATTTTTTTAACGGGGGAGTGCTGGAGATATGCCTCAGCACTTAACAATTTTTGTTCTTACAGAGGGCTGGGTTCAGTTCCCAGCACCCACAAGGTGGCTCACAACACTCTTTTCCCGGGGATCCGAACCCCTCTTCTGGCCTCTGGCTTTTGACATGTAGTGCATAGACAGACATGCATGCAAAACACCCATACACATAAATTAAAAAGAAATTTTCTGAGACAGGAGCTCATTAGCCCTGATTGTCCTGGAACTCACTATGTGGACCAGGCTAGCCCTGAACTCACAGTGACCCACCTGCCTCTGCCTCCCCAGAACTAAGATTAAGGGCATGGGTCACCACACCTGGCCTTAATTTTTTTTTAACTTTTAAAACGTCCTCCTGGTTTGTTTACCTTTTAAAAAGCATTAGTGTGGGCTGGACAGATGGCTCAGCAGTTAAGAGCACTGGCTCCTCTCACAAGAGGACCTGTGTTCCATTCCCAGCACCCACATGGTGGCTCACAAGTCTAGTTCCAGGAGATGCTATTATTATGTCTTCTGATGTTTACAGGCACCAGGCATGCATGTGGTACATAGACATAACTGCAGGCAAAATACTCACGTACATAAAACAAAATGAATAGATCTCTAACATGCTAGTGTAAAATTCTGTGATAAAATACCACATCTGAGCCCAGCATTGGTGGTGCACGCCTTTAATCCCAGCACTTGGGAGACAAAGGCAGGTGGATCTCTGTGAGTTTGAGGCCAGCCTGGTCTACAGAGCGAGTTCCAGTACAAGCTCCAAAGCCACAGAGAAACCCTGCCTCAAAAAACCAAAATAATAATAATACCACATCAACAAAAACTTCTAGACTGTGACTTCTTGGCTTCAAGAGATCCTGAGCTCATAGACGGAACTGGAGTCCCACAGTCCCCCAGTTTGGAGGTTTTTTATCACTCCCTACCCATAGTCCTCCACACCACTCCTTCTCCCACGATACCTTGGCTGTCTTTCTGGTAACTCCAACCTGAGCTCCTCTGGGGAAATGTTCTGAGAGAGAGGGAGAGAGAGAAAACAAATGGCCATCTTTCAGTTAGTTAAATGAGCACTTGAAATCTGCAGAATCGTTGTTCTAAGAAGTGAAGCACATGTGGATCCATTGAGCTTCCTCAGAACCCTATGGGGAGGTCTTATGCCCACTTGACAGCTACAGAAACTGAGGCCCGGCGATGTCACTGGACTTGCCCCACATTACACAAGACAGTAAATGCCAGAGTTCCGATTTGAGTCAGTGTTCCCATGGTAACCACTCTACTTCCTTTCCAGGGAAGCCCAGCTCCTCGTGGGCAATACCCTCCCCTGCCAAGCAGCCTAGACTATAGAAAAGAGGAAGGAAGCCGATGCGAACAGAGAGAGCACAAAATGAGAGGCTTATCCAGTTCATACAGGCTTGCTGGTGGCTTTGGGCTACCTTATTAGAATTAAAGCCCTAGCTGCTGGCTAGTTTTATGTCAACTTGACACAACCTATAGTCATCTGAGAGGAGAAAACCACAATTGAGAAATTGCCTCGATTTGATCGGCTGTAGACAAACCTGTAGGGCACTTTCTTTAGTGATATAGATTCAGCCCATTGTGGATTGGGCCACTTCTGGGCTAGTGGTCCTGGGTTCTGTAAGAAAGCGCACTGAGCGAGCCATGCGGAACAAGCCAGTAAGCAGCTCCCCTCCGTGGCCTGTGCATCAGCTCCTGCCCCCAGTTCCACTCAGGTATGAGTTCCTGCCCTGACTTCCCTCAATGGACTATGACTATGTCAGCCAAATGACTCGCTTCTCCCCAACTTGCTTTTGGTCATGGTATTTCACCGCAGCGCTAGTAGCCTTAACTCAAACACCTGGATTTTGGTTTTTCTTCCAAAGCCAGGGTAAGGCTTGAGCTCACTATGTAGATCAGGCTGGCTTCAAACACAGAGAGAGGTCTGCCCGCCTCGGCCTCTTGAGTTCTGGGATGAAAAGCCAGAGCCACAGTGCCCAGCCTTTCAGTGGCTTTTTTGATACAGAACCTCTTATAGCCCAGGCTAGCCTCCAACTAACTGTAGCCAAGGATGGCCTTGACTCCTGGTCCTCCTAGCTCCACCTCTGGAGTGCTAGCATTGCATGCATGTGTCACTGTACCTTGTTTATGAGGTACCCAGGGAACAATCCACCAACATTGTCCCCAGACCTCTCACTCTATCACAGGGCCCCCATCCAAGTCCCTCACCTGGATTTCTTCCTCCAGTACCACCATCTGCCGGTCTTTGTCCACTTTCACTGGAGAGGGATAGAACACAGGTTACAGGTCCCTCCCTCCTGCACGCCACCCCCCCCCCCCCCGCCCTGCCCCGGCAGAGGCCACTGACTTATGATGGCTGCGTTGTCGGTCTCTTTTCGGAAACGGAATTTCCTCAGCTTTTCCTTTAACTCCGGGTCCACTTCACACACCACCAGGGAATCCGACTGCCAAAGGGACAGGGAGGAGCTGAGCTGGCTTGGCCTCTAACCTGGCTCCTTTCCTGACTCAGTTTCCCCATAAACCAGTGAAGAAGCTGAAGCTGGCCCATGTGAGAGGGCGTTGGCAAACACCTCAGTGGGTGCCAGTCACTAGGGCACACAGCTCAGCTTCTGGGGGACACACAGGGCAGGCCCCACCTTCCTGGTAGGCCCTCGGGGTTTATTCCAGAAGACCCAGGAATCTGTGTGGGGCCAAAATAAAACCACCACCTCTATGTCCTAGCTAGACCCTTTGTCCCAGCTGGGTCCCTTCCCTCCCTGCCTGTGACCTTCATGCTCCGGCTGACCTTCCACCAGGTACCCTCCCTGCCCCAGTCCACCCTAAAGCTCAGCCCCTTGCCCTTCCTTGCCACCCAGGCCTTCTGACCATGGCTCTTCTGTCTTCAGACCGCCTCTCAGTTCTGCTGTCTTCTAGGGGTGGGGACCCGGGCTGAGAGGGGCAGGCTGTGGCAGGGGGAAGCTTTCATCTAACCCCACATCCTGTTTATGCCTGGCTTGGGGCAACTGTCACAAAGGGGCTCCTCCCCTTCCTTCCTTCCCTGCATCAGCCAGAACCTGGGAGGCTTGGTGGTCACTAAGCCGGAGGTTCGAATACTGCCTCAGTGTGCCGCCCTAGCTGAGTAAAGCCACGACCCTCATCTGGGGCCACTGAAGATAAAATAACTTGTTATCCCCGGGTTCATCGATGCGCCTAATAGTTAATAGACCCATCCTTGTGGAATACACCTTTAATTCCTGCACTTAGCAGGCAGAAGCAGGTGGATCTTTGTAAGATCAAGGCCAGCCTGGTCAATATAGTAAGTTCCAGAACAACCAGGGTTACTGTTACACAGTCCAGGAATGGAGCTGTGTGAGAATTCGGACTGCTTGTGAGAAAACTCCAAGAAAATAAAACAAGAGTCTTGTGACCTCAGTTTCTTCTAAACACAGTTTTTTTTTTTTGTTGTTGTTGTTTGTTTTGTTTTGTTTTTTGTTTTTCTTTTCCAGACAGGGTTTCTCTGTGTAGTCTTGGCTATCCTGGAATCCTGGAACTCGATCTGCAGACCAGGTTGGCCTTGAACTCCCAGGGATCCACCTGCCTCTGCCTCCTCGTACCATGATCAGCTAAATCTGCCTGTTTCATCAACTTTACTCTCCCAAGGTGTCACAGCCTCTAGAGTGGTGACAGGCGACACAGAGAGACCCTGTCTCAGAAATAAGTAATGGTGGCTTATAATATCCCAGCCTTCAGGATGGCTACAAGTCTGAGGTCAGCCTGGTTGACAATTGTGAACTCCTGGATAGCCAGAGTTACACGGAGATACTGCACACCAAAAGACAAAAAAGGGGCCTGCGAGATGGCTCGTGGGTAAGGGCGTTTGCTACCAAGCCTGAGGAACTAGGTTCAATCCCCAGAGAGAACCGATTCCCACAAATTATCCTCTAACTTCCACAAGTGGGATATGGCATTTTCATGTATACGCAAACATAAACAAATAAAATATAATCTAATAAAAAAATTTAAAAACGAAAGAGTAGATACTAGCAGGGAATAGTGATGCATGCCTGTAATACCAGTACTTGGGGACAGTGATTCCCAGGTCCCACACAGTAGTTCATGATCATTCCCTAACTCCAGTTCCAGGGGACTCGACGCCAATTTTGGACCTCTGTGGGCACCAGGCATACATATGGTATACATATAAACTTGCAGGCAAAACACTCATACACACAAAATAAAATAAATCTTAAAGGAAAAAGAACCCAAAATAGCAAACACTCCAGAAAATCTGATAAAACAACCAAAGGAGTATGAGGGATTAACTAACAGTGAAAGCACATGTTAGCACACACATGGCATGGCTTTTTGTTCTCATGCACGAATACATATACACACACATACATACATCACACGCAGACACATACACACACACACCACATACATACACACACCACACACCATACATATACATACAGCACACATACTATACACACCCCCCCACACATACACACACACACACCATATACACATACCATACACACTATACATACCCACCCACACACACACTACACACATACACCACACATACACATACTTATTCATTTGTTCCCTTTTCCTTCTTGAAATAAATTTTTAAAAAAAATCAATTAATAAACCCAAATGTCCTATAAAGAAGCAATAAAAACAAAGTAATTTATGAGAAAATCCTATGTATTTTAGTGAAGGCATACAGGCAAGCAAAAAAAAAAAAAAGTATTCCCCAATCATTGCTCCTCTTGGCTCTCTTTGCTAGCTCTCCATTCTAATAATGGACAGACCCCATCACTGGTCTCCACCCCACCCCACCGGCCAGGCCACCTCTCCAGCAATTCTCCAACCCTTCCTATAATCTGAGCCTGTCCCGATGGCGCTTCCCCTGAACCTCCATGAAATGTTATTGAATATGGATATCTTTGTCTTCAGCCATGTGTGGTAGGACATGAGTAACCCCAGCACTCAAGAGGCTAAGGCAGGAGTATTGGCCAGCCAGGAGTATATAACAAGACACTCTCCACAAAAATAAAGGGGGAGAGATAGATCAACAATTAAGAGCATTGGCTGCTCTTCCAGAGAACCCATGTTCCATTTCCAGAACACACATGATGTCTAAGAATTGTCTATAACTCCAGTTCCAGGCACCCAATGCCCTCTTCTGGTCTCCATGGGCACCAGGCATGCGTGTGGCACACAAAAAAACATCCAGGCAAAACACCCATACATATACAATAAAAACCAATGTGCAAACATTAAAAGTAATACGGCTGGCGCTGTGGCTCAGTTGGTAGAATGCTTGTTCAGTATGCCTGCCCTGGGCTCCATCCCCAGCACCATATAAACTGTATGAAGAAGCACATTTAGCCCTCAAGAGGAGCAGGCAGGAGGATCTACAGTTCGAGGTCATTCCTAGCTACCTGGAGAGTTAAGAGGTCAATCTGGGCTGAGAACTGTCTCAAAAATAAATAGCCGGGTTTGGTGGTGGATGCCCTTAATCCAGGTACCCGGAAGCCAAAAGCAGATGGATCTCTATGAATGTGAGGCTAGCCTGGTTATATAGCCAAGTTCCAGGACAGCCAGGGCTACACAGTGAGATCCTGTCTCAAAAAAAAAAAAAAAAAAAAAAAACAAAAACAAAAACCCAAAACAGGGCCATGAAGTTTGCTCAGCAGATTAAGGTTTTTGGTGCCAAGCCTGACCACCTAAGTTTGAATCCACATGCTGGGAAAGAACTGATTCTTGTTACTTGTTCTCTGCCTGGCAACCACATCTGCTGCTTATTTCCTTCCCAACTTCCCCAAAACAATCATCTATACTTGCTGTTTCCCAGTTTTCTCTCAAACTCCATGCCACAATGCTGTTTGCTTGCTTGCTTGTTTGTTTTTTTGAGACAGGGTTTCTCTGTAGATCAGGCTGGCCTCATACTCAGAGATTTGCCTGTCTTTGTCTCCCAAGTGCTGGGATTTGAGGTGTGTGCCTAGCACAACCCAGCTGCTAGCTTTTGAAAAATGACTTAAAAATGGGTTTCTCTGCATAGCCTGGCTGTCCTGGAACTCTCTGAAGACCAGGCTAGCCTCAAACTCAGAGATCCACCTGCCTCTGTCTCCTGAGCGCTGGGATTAAAAACATACACCAACCACACCTGGCTCTTCAAATGTTTTTAAAAGTTTTATGTGTGTGAGTGTTTTGCCTGCATATGTTTGTGCACCACTTGCGTGTCTGGGACCTGCAGAAGTCAGATAACAGGTCCCCTGGAACTGAAAGTACAGTTGCTACTCTCCATGTGGGTGCTGGGAATTGAAGTCACGTCTTCTGGTAACACAGTCAATGCTCTTAACTGCTGTACCGTCTCACTAGCCCCAGGAAAATAAGTGTCTTTAAAGGGGAGAGGGTCTAGCCCACACTTTCAAGGAGAATAGCGACTAGTCTGGTGTAAGAAAGAAGGTCAAGGCCAGTCAGGACTAGAATGAAATCCTAATTCAAAAAATCCAAACCACAAATAGCTGGGCCTTGTGATGTCTCCTGGCATGAAATGGCCTTTCCTCTCCTTCAGATTTCTCTGTCTTTGAGACAGGATCTCACTCTATAGACCAGGCTGGCTTCGTATTTACAGAGAAGCCCTCGCCTTTGCCTTGGCCGGGATTAAAGGCGTGTACCACTACACCAGGTCCCCTCCCGTCTTTCTCGCTGCCACTTCACCATCTTCGTTTAGTGTCCACTTCGTTTCCCAGACCAAGAGTCCTCGTTTCTCAGAGTTCCGCCGGATCCTTGGGTCCATTCACCCCTCACACCCTCCCTGGGATCGGTCACGCACCCCCACAGCTTCAATTACCATCTCTAAAGATTCTTAAATCCTGGTCTGCAGCCTGAGTGTCCCCGGGGTGGGGCAGTGTTCTTGACTTCGCTGTTAGGCGTCCCCACACCAGGCTTCTTCTCTGAGACCTAATCTCCCAGAGGGCTTTGTCCTGGACTTTTCTCTTCCGCCCTGTGGCCAGCCAGTGGCAAAAGGCGAGTTCAGAGGGCCACCTAGGCGTCCCTCCCATCCCCTCCCCAGGATCCCTCCCAGACGCAACCCCGCCCCATCTCCCAGGTGGCTCCCTGGGCTCCTCCGCGTCCCATTCTTTACTGTCCTCGAGTCAGCCAGAGGCGTCGCTTCCAAACTCCCAACTCCCCAAGACCTCCCCGGTCTTGGATCCCTTCCACGTCCCCCTAGTCACTTCAGCACAAGTGCAAACTCCCTCCAGTGGCCAAACATCTGGTCGCAGCTCATTTCCCACTAGTCCCTGTCGTAAACTAGACACTCCACCCTATTTCTTGTGACTTCTCGTGGCTGTCATCCTTCTGGAGCGCCGGCCCCTTTCCAATCATTTCGCCCCGACGTAGGACAGTTTGTGGATGGAGCAAGATCACGACGAGAGTGACGAGAGCGATCACCATTTATTGACGGCCTCTTTTGTGCGGGGTGTGTGTGTGTGTGTGTCTTATCTCCTCCCTCCCTTAAAGGGTCGACTTCGCTCATCTGTGTCACTTAAGGCGCGGCCGATGGACACCCGGAGCCGGAGTGCAGCATTGCCACCCCAAGTGGCGAGGACGCTACAGGGTACAGACCTTGGGCCGGGCGTGACCGAGGGGCGGGGAGGCGGGGGGCCTTGAACGCCAGAATGAGGAATTATGACTCGGTTCGCGGCCCCTGAGTTAGACACGCGCGAGACTGCCCCCTGCGGGCCCGGAGGCCCAATCGCGGGCTCCGCCGGCCTGTTGCCCGGGGCAACGCGGCGCGCGCCCCTCCCCTTCCCGGCCCTCTGCCCTCCGCCCGGGGCCTGGCTGTCTGCCCATCACCCAGTCGGACCAATCGTAGTGGGGAGGGGGCGGGCCTCTCCGGCCTCGTTCCAGCCCCGTCGCTCCCTTCCCGGCCAGGACCCCGCCTTTCTTGCCGCACACCTCCCACCCTTCGGGCTGCCCTAGCCGACAGTTGGCTGGATTCGCCGTCCGTCAACCGGGTGTGAGCCAATGCGGGCGCGCAGTGGGCCCCCGGGGCGGGGCCAGGGGCGGTGACGCACGGCGCGGTGACGCAGCGCGACGGCGGCGGCGGCGGCGGCGGTGGTCGGTGCGGGAGGAGGGAGGGGAGCTCTCGGGCCAGAGAGGGGGCGACGGCGGCGGCGGCGGCGGCGGCGCGGGTGGCGGCGGCTGCCTGAGGAGGCGCGGGCGGCGGCGGCGGCGGCGGCGGCGGAGGCCGAGGCGGTGAGTCTCGGGCAGGGCCGGGCCGGCGGGCGCGGGGCGGCGGCGGTCGAGGCGCGCGGCGCTCCCCTCAGGGCGACCCAGGCCGCGCGGCCGGCCCCGCCCCCTCAGGGACCCCGCGCCGCCGGCTGCGGCGGGCGGCGGACTCGGCCTCCAGGCCGGGGGGGCCCGGGGGAGCCTTCAGGACCCCGCGCCCGGCCCGCTGCTCCCCACCCGGGCCCCTTCCTCAGCTTCCCTCCCAGACCCTCGCGCCCTGGGGATGGTCGAGGGGCCGGGCCCGGGGACCTCCGTCCTGACCCGGCACGCATCGGCTCCGGCGGCCTCCCCGGAGACCACCCTCAGCTTTCAACTGCCTCCCTCGGGGACCTTCCCCGTGGGTCCCCGCCCTTTCGTCCCCGGTTCTCCCCCCACCTTCCTCCTGGATTCGCAACACATTCCTTGGTGGCTACTCCCCGTCTGTCTCCACAGCATATTTGTCTCAGGCGTCTCTGTCAGGAACCTTCCCGAAGCCCCCAAACCGGCCCTAGACACCCCCTCGGCATTGAGGACCCCCTCGTCGCATATTTCATCCATCTCCCTTAGACTTCCTCTTCACATATCCCAAGAATTTATCCTCCCACCCTTCCACATTCTAGAAATGTTAGCGATTTCCACTCTTATTCCCCAAATCCTTCAGGATGCCCCTGGTGAACCCGTCTTCCTAGGAAAGCTTGCATATCCCGGAACAGTGTTCTTCAGATACTACTGAAATGCTCATAGATCCCAAAACTCACCTGAAGGACCCCCTCCTCACTTTGCCTCCATCTCTCATATGTACCCCAGCCTCTTCTCATACCTCTTGGATTCTTCTATAGGTTCCCAAATCTGGCCCAGGGACTTGCACAAATCTTCCCCACCGTGGAGTGCTCTAAACTAGATCACCTCTCTGTACCCCTTATCCATTTTCTCCTGAGCCCCCACACCTACTCATCTTGAAAGTCTCCAGAGAGCTCCTCTCATATTCCAAACACCTCTTCCAAATCCCCTCCTATGTGTCCCAAATCCTTTCCCAGTAACACACACCACTTGTGTGAGGACTCCAGAAAGTTCCCTCACAGCCTCTGTATCCTCTAGAACTTTTCTTGGGTAACCCGAAAATTGGGAGACTGCCCCATTGTAGCCTTAGATAACTTTCTGAAGCTTCTCCTTACAACCCTGAAACATCCCTCTGAGATACAGCTTTCAGGATCCCATGGCATCAGAAACCCCAATAACCCTGAATGGCCCTTCAAATACTTCTCAGCGACCCTGATATCCCTAGGACCTTTGGAGTTGTTTCTTACACTGTCCTACTAAAAGACTTTTCTAGCTATCTCCTCAGAGCCCCCTGCCCGCCCGCCACCCCCCTATTTTCTGATGCATCTTTAGAAAGCTTTCCACACCTACCTAATCTTTCAGTGTAACTGAACACTCAGAATATTTTGAGAAAAGCCTACTCTGATGCTACCAGGTCTTTGCTAGGAGTCCATGCCCCACCCCCCCAATTGGGGTGTTGGGTGTTTAAAGATTCCTCTGTCAGGGCCTCTCTCAGAAGACCACTCCTTTCCCCAAGACACTCCTTAGAACATTTTCTCCCAGGCCCTGTGTCAGTAATCTCTTGCACTTTCTGGGAACCCTCCCTCAAATTTCCCGTCTGGCATCCCCAATGTTATTTCAGGACTCTGTCAGATTTATCCCAGTTAGGATGAACCTGTTCTCACTTTCTCTTTTCTGCCCATTCTCATTCTTTGAAATCATAGACCCTTCTGGATTCTCAGTCTGCTTCCCCCACTTTTTCTTCAGAGGCCGTAGCATCCTTCAGACACTCCCTTCCCAAACTTTCTCTACTTCTGGAAATCCCAATGCTTTGAGACTCTCTTCCCAGATTGACCGACTGATCAACCTACTTACCTTCCTACCTTCTCTCCTTCCTTTTTAGACCTCACCCTCATAGCGTCTCTCCTTTCAGATTTGGAAAGATCTTTAACACCCACTTAGAGACTTCTTTTCTTGTTTTGTTTTGTTTTTTCGAGGCAGGATGTCTCTGTATTGCTTTGGAGCCTGTCCTGGAACTCGCTCTGTAGACCAGGCTGGCCTTGAACTCAGAGATCCATCTGCCTCTGCCTCCTGAGTGCTGGGATTAAAGGTGTGCGCCACCAGTGCCTGGCCACTTATAGACTACTTGAGAACTCACTTTTATCCTTTTCATTTTTGAAGATCCCTTACTGAAGAATTCCCTCCCTTCTATCAGTGGCTCTCAAAGTATGATTAGACCTGTGGCAGCATGGTTGGAAAATGCCAATTCTTGAGTCTTACTCAGATTTAATGAATCAGAAAAGTTCGGAGCAGAGCCCAGCAATCTAAGTTTTTAACAGACAGTCCTGTTGATTCTGATGTATGCTCAAATTTGAGAACCACTGCTTCTAAGAGGACCTCTTTCTCTGTAATAAGTCCTAAAGATGTGCCTCTAAGCCCTGCTGTGCATCACCATTTTCTGGGGACTGTGTGCAATACCCATCTTCCAGAAAGACTTCTTCCCCACTTTGAAGGATTTTGGCTTCTCTACAAGGTTACCCCACCCTCTGAGTAATTACTTTAGGTTCTGCTTTGAATGGTTCCCTTCAGCTCTTCCTCAGCACTTTCTCCTTCTACCTGCCCCTCTGGCCCACCCTAGAGCCTTTGCTCCTTTTGGTTTAAATTGCTACCTCCTTGAACACACATGTCCCTCTCATCTCATTTCTCTTCTCCACGTGGGCAACTTCAGGTCTTCTGTCTGTGTCTTAACCACCAGGGGCTCTCCATGCACTTCACAGAGCACTGTAGTTTTTTATGCATTTGCCTACTTACCCTCCCTCACAGGACAGGAAACTAGAAGTACAGGCTGGATCTGAATGTGCCAGGTGTCCCAGGATTTTAGTGAGCATTATTGGAGAATGGGTAGCTCCAAGTTTCTTAGATCCCATTCTCCATTCATGTCTGGTACACCTTCCCTGTCCCCTTTTCAAACCTTTCATCACTCTGGTCAGTCCCTTGCCTCTCCTCCCGCCCACTGCTTCTGTTCATGGAACTTCTCTTGGCACTGATTCTGAGCTATCCTATATATGTTCTGTTCTGGTGACCTACCTCATCCCGTCTTAGTTAGCTTTTCAGTCTCTCTTAGTTTCAGATCTCTATAGTACTCTCAGCTTTTTCCAAGAGAATCCATTCCTCTGTAGGATCAAGAAGAGGAACTAGAGAGCCCAAGATAAATACCTGTCTTTTGGGAGCTCACTATTTTGTGGAGGGCTTGGGTAGATGCACCACAAAGGACATGAGGGCACAAAATAGATGCTGTGGAGACCCAACTATTTGGAAAGATTTCATTGAAAAGGTATTTAGGTGACATAGTGTTCCATGGGAATCAGGACCACAATTAGGAGCTCCTAGGCGGGGGACATAGTTTAAACACTATGCTTTTGCTTTTATGGTGCTGGGAATTGAACTCCGTACCTGGGGCATGAAAGACAAGTTTTTAATGACTGAGCTACATCTGAAGCCTCAAAAAAAGCATCATCTCTCACCCATAGTTTCTTTTGTATATGAGCAGAGTTAAAGGAAATAGCACTCTTTGATTTGGATGGTATTATATAGGTACACTAGAATGACTCACAGATGTAACAGGGGTTGCTGTTTACTAAATGCGTACTGTTTGCTAGGCACTGTGTAAGTGCTTTTTCTGTGTAGTCTCATGTCACGGGAACCTAAGGTAGATAAACTACTATTATCTTCATTTCCCATATGATGCAGTGAAGGATAGGTGGGTGGGACTAATAGAAGGTCTGTGGGCCCTGCCTGTCCCCAAATGATAATGCCTTGGGTCATAGAATTGGATTTTCTGTTTAGATAGGGTTTGGGTGCAACCCTTATGTTCCACAACTGAAATAAATGAAGGCCATAATGATATCTTACTTCATGGACTAAGTTAATGGATGTAAAGTACTTAAAACAATGCCTTGTATACACTGAGTGCTGTGAGCAGAAAGTAATGTTAGCCAAGGCCCTAAAAGGTAATAGAATCTTAACACAAAGTAGTTTAAAGGGGAGATTTTGAGCTCCAGCAGGGATGGGAAGGGGTGTCCAGGGGAGTGGGGTGAGGGTTAATTAACTCATGTTACTGAAAAATCCAGACTGCTTATAGCTGTATCTTGAGGTTCAGATAATAATCCCAACCTTCACATTTATCCACTGAGTTAGTAGCTTCTTATTTAACAGGTTTCTGCTTGTGGTGACAGATACTGCCCTCAGCAACCCCAGCTTCAAATTCTACCTCTTTAGCAGCCTCAGTGTAAAAAAAAAAAAAAAAAAAAAAAAAAACAACCTCTTAAGAGTTCCAGTTTAAGACAGTTTCCCTAGTAAGTTTGAGACACTTGATGGTAGAATATACTTGGATATGTTGGGGTTCTGTACTATGCAACTGTGTCTTGATGCTCCTAATAGGATTGTGATTCCATCCCATGAGCTTTTTTTCTTTTCTTTCTTTTTTTTTTTTTTTAAGATTTATTTATTTATGTATACAGTGTTATGCCTGTATGAATGCCTGCAAACCAGAAGAGGACATCAGACCCTATTACAGATGGTTATGAATTATCATGTAGTTGCTGGGAATTGAACTCAGGACCTCTGGAAGAACAGCCAGTATTCTTAACCTCTGAGCCATCTTTCCATCCCCATCCCATGAGCTTTATAAGTACTGATGGTTCCTCCTGTTCTCTGTCCCCACCCTCAGTAATTCCATGCTCTGTGATTATTTGTGTTCAAAGAAATCTAATGCCCATTATGATCCTACAGACTTTGTTTCAGGATCTCACTAGGAGAGGCAGGAGGCAGATGGGTGGCTTGACTTGCTAACATAGAATGTAATAGTACCTGGATTCAGTACCTTCAACTTGGCTTTGGATTTCTAGGGCCTAGAACTTTGGAGAGGTTTTGTTTGTTTTAGTACAGAT